GTTCTTCTAAACAGCCCACCCCTATATATCACCATATATCTGTATACTGCTTCTATATACAGCTCATCCCCTGTATAGCTTGCCGCCTATGTATCTCCCCTATTATACCATCCTCCCGACACAGCCCAGGCCCTAAACATCACCCCCTTGTATCACTCTACTGTACAGCCCACCCCTATGTATCACTACCCCACATAGCTCACCCACGAGATATCTCCCTCCATACACCATGCCCCTATATAGCCCACCCCTCTATATCCCACCCTGACACAGCCCAGCCCTTACACACAACTCCCCGTACACCACATCCCTATACAGCACACTCCAACATATCACACCCCTGTACAGAGCTCTGTATCACAGCCCAGCACACAGCACCTCTCTGTACCACCTCCTGTATACAGCCCACTCCCCATATATCAGACCCTCTGTACAGCCCACCCTACACAGCCCAGATCCCATTCCTGTACATTCCAACACACGCAGTGTTCCCTACATTGACACATGGAGCCCTGCCCAGGGGTGGGACAGTGTGGCACAGCATGGCCCAGCACAGCACACGGCATGGCACAGCAGGGCATGGTGCTGTACATGTGGCACACATGTCACAGTACATGTCCCATGGCATGGTGACCCCCAACACTGTGGCACCCCTAGCATGGTGAGAGACCCCTGCCATGGGCCAGCCCACCACGGCACAGTAGCACACACCTGGTCAGGACACAGTGTGGCACCCCCAGCATGGTGACAGGCTCCTGCCATGGCACCCCATGGTGCCCCGAGCCCAGCCCAGCACCCCTCCCTGGGGCTCTCCATCACCCAGCCCCTTCTCTCCAAATCCTTTATTGCCATGTCCCAGCCCCCCACACTGGGATTCCCTGGAAGCACAGGACTGAGAGAAGTGGGCGGAATGCCAGATCCTGCCCAACAGCGGGACCAGTTCCTGGAGTGGGAAAACACCTGGCAGGGTGGGGGTCACCCCAAAAACCCCCATTAGATACGGACAGTGTTGATCCGCAATGGCTGCACATTCTTCCCGTTGGCATGGCTCTGCCCAGGACTGAAATATGAGCACAGCTTCCCGGGAAACCTCTCCCGGAAGGTGTAGAGCCAGGACATGTCGTCAGCATTGTAGAAGATGAGAAGCCCCTTATCATAGTCCAGGAAGACGCCCACCTTCTCCAGCTTGCCCTTGACGTTCAGCCGCGTCCAGGGCTCGGTGCAGGCACTGTACTGGTTCCCGTCGTGCATCACGATGCAGTAGAACCCGCGGCTCGGCTGGATCTGGATGCTGCCCTTGCGGGTCACGGCCTCGTGGGCCAGGCCGATCATCCACTGGGTTTTTTCAGACACCACCACCTCCCAGTAGTGCACCCCAGCACCAAAGGCCTCGGTGCCCAGCACCGACACCTCCACGTCAAAGCGCCGGGGCGAGTCCTGCAGCGGGTGTGGGTGAAGGTTGCCATAGGCCACGATGGTGCAGTCGTCTGAGAGGATGAGGCGGTGGTGGGCAGTGCCGGGGTCCAGAGTCAGTGCTGCTGGCACTGGGACAGCGGGGACAGGGGGAACGAGGGTTAGTGCAGCCCCGGAGCTGGTGCTCTGTCCCACCAGGGTGACAACCAGCATGGGTGGAAGGTCACTGGGATGGCCCTGTCCCTATCCCTCACAGGGGTGTCCCGCCCTCATGCTCATCTTCTGTCAGTGATGTCCCTGTCCCTCACTGGTGTGCCCCTGTCCCTCACTGGTGTGTCCCTGCTCCTCATCACTCATGTCCCAGACCCTTCTCAGCAATGTCCCCATCCCTAGTCAGTGACATCCCCTTCCCTCACAGGTGATGTCCCCTTCCCCATCCCTCACTGGTGTGTTCCTGTCCCTGGTGACCGCCCCATCCCTCACGGCTCCCCCGTCCCTGTGCTCTCACCAGGATGGATGTCCTGGAAGAGGGATTTCCAGATGGTGTACTGCAGTGGACCCATGTACTTGGAGGTGGGAAAATCCTCATAGGTCAGGTTGGTCTCGTGGATCTTTCCCTTCAGCCTGCAGAGAACACACGGTGCCAAGGTGGGGGTGACACCAGGGACCCCACTGTCCCCTCACTGCCACCCACCTCTCAGAGAGGGAGGCCATGCCGGCCAGGAAGACGTGTTTATCCGCCTCGGCCAGGCGCTCCTGCAGGATCTGGGTGCCCTCCTGGACCTTGCGGAGCTGCTGGCTGTAGCGCTGGATCTTGTGCTCGATGTCGCTGAGCGTGCGCGCCGTGTCAGCCTCCAGCTCCTCCAGCATTGCCTTCTGCCGCTCCCGCAGCAGCCGGTGCAGCCGCTCAAATGCCTCCCCGATCGTCGCCCGCAGGCTTTTGGCTGAGGACTTGAGGTGCAACAGGGGGTTAAGAACACCTAAAGCTCTGCTGGTCAACCCATCAGTTCCTTAATCCCCAAATAAATATCTAAAAGGGCATCAGATCAGGGAATTCTGGGGGCTACAAGGGTGGATTTGATCTTGCACCCTTAAAAAAGGAGTAAAAGGTTCCTAGAACCACCGAAAGAGCCTTCCAAAGAACCCTAGGAGAACCTCCCCCAAAAAACCTAAAAGAACCCAAAAAAAATCTCCCAAAAATCCTCAAGTAATCCTAAAAGAACCTCCCAAAGATCCTACAAAAGGACCTTAAGGAATCTCCCCAAGAAACCTAAAAGAAACCTAAAAGAATCCTCCAAAGAACCTTAAAACAATTTGCAAAATAACCCTGGAAAACCTCCCAAAAAACTTTGAAGAGCTCTTAAAGAATCTTAAAAGAAACCCTTTTAATACCTTAAAAACCCCCCTAAACCCCTTCAAATTACACCTTAAAACTTCCTAAGAAACTCAATAAACCAACCTAAACTAAAAAGACCTCCTAAAATAACTCCGGAAAACTAAAAAAAACCCCACATCAGTTGCTGGTGGGGATGGGGAGAAAACTGAACCTTAATGGACACTGAACCCTTGAGTGAGGAGATAATTAATTAAATTAATTAAAAAGATAAATCCAAGCAGCACTGCAAGAAGTTATAGAGGGATGAGCAGCCCCACTGGGGTACCACAAGGAAAAAATTGGGTAAATCCATGCAATTGTAGAGTTTGGAGTGTTTGGAAGTCCCAAAATAAGGCTGTGAGGGTCAGGGCTGGGGTATCACCAGGGTGGCAATGAGATTGACCCCAATTCTGCTTTGGGGGGCTGTGAAATGGGGAAAAATGGGGGTTCCCAGGGGTGACAGCGGTGTTCCTACATGTACCTTGGTCTCAGCCAGCTGCTTCTTGAGGAGCTGCAGAGCTTCTGTGTGGCTACGCTCACTCTCCTGCAGCCCCTGGAGTTGCTCCTTCAGCTCCCGCTGGGGACAGGGAGGGAAAATCCATAAATAGGTCATTTGTGGAAAAAAGGGATCCCACACGGTGCTTTCTCACATAAACCAACCATGGAGTTATGGGGCTGTGGAATGAGGGTCCTGCCTGGGGTGGGGAATAACAGGTCCTGCCTGGGGGACAGCTTAGCCATGGGGTGATTTGAGGGTTCCCAAAAACTCACAGTGGCCATGGAGAAGGGGGATCCCAGAGGGACAGTGGTGGAGGTGTGGATGGAAGTGTGGATGGATGGATGGATGGATGGATGGATGGATGGATGGATGGATGATGGATGGATGGATGATGGATGGATGGATGATGGATGGATGGATGGATGGATGATGGATGGATGGATGGATGGATGGATGGATGGATGATGGATGGAATGGGCTGACCCCAATGCAGAAAAAAGGGCTGTGGGGACAGACAGACAGATGGAAATACATACAGAAGGAAAGAACAGGGCTGACCCTGAGAAGGAAAAGAAAGGGTGCAGGGATGGACAGATGTGAGGAAGCCACAGGACTGATCCCCACAGGTTCAGGACGGGTGCAGCTCAGGACAAAAGGGAAGGGCACTACCAATGGAAGCGAGAGGGACCAGCCGGATACAGCAGCCTCGAGGAGCCACTCAGGGCAGGGAACCCTTTAGGGACCCACCTGCAGCTCCTCGAAGGCATCGTCCACGTTGGTAACCTGGTGCTGCTCATGCATGGCCGGCTCATCACAGAAGAAACAGACGACGGCACGGTCAGTGAGGCAGAAGAGCTTCACCTTCTCATGGTCCTTGCAGGGGAAGGAGCTGCGCTGGGCGCCCAGGATAGCGTCCAAGGGGAAGGCGCTGTAGCGCTCCACGATGTTGGCCAGCTTGAGGCTGGGGGCCAGCGTGGGCTCGGGGAAGGTGCGGCGGCACTCAGGGCAGTCGCGGGTGCCCTGCGGCTCCTGGCGCACCCAGTGCTCGGTGATGCAGCGGCGGCAGAAGTAGTGCTCGCATCCCAGCCCCACGGGGTCCTGGTAG